ACAAAATAAAATGCTTGATTAAGAATTTACATTTTAAAAGGGCGCTCAAGAGGAGAATATACCAAAAAGCAGAAGAAATCAAGCTAAAAATGATGATAGTTTTGAATTAACAAACAGATATGTGGTCAAGAACAAAATAGCGAAAACTAAAACACAACCCCTTCTACCTTTCCAATTGCTATTTCGAGATCAGAAAATTATCAGAGTGAACGGCACCGAATATTTAGTGGATAAAGTTAAGGGGAATGATCTTACTGTGTATTCTTTGAATATGAAAGAGTCAAAATTATCAAAGTAAAGCCTGCTAGCATTGTTTATTACAATAAAAAATCAGGGACTTGGCAAAAAAAAAAAATAGGGCTCAGGGGAGGAAGCAGGGGACGAATTAGTTTCGCAAAAATAGCAAGATACGAACGAATTCCAATAAAAGGTACGCAAAATAAGAAATGAGGGCAATAGCATTGCAAGCACCAGAAAGAATTTTATACCAACATGACTACAACCCAGCGATCTATATTATATTGAAAACTCAAAGAAATAAAAATGTTTTCTTAAGACTGGGTAATTATTGTTGGAGATATAAAAATAATCGGAGAGATGTAGGTTATTTGGCACTCTCACTAAACATGAAATGAGAGGAGATAGCTCCTAAAATAACAGTAGTAATTCCTGACCAAAGATTTATAGAGCGTTTCCAAAAAAATTACTGAGGTTTTTTGAATCCTATATAGGGGGGCCTACTACATGAATCAATGGGATAATATTTAAAATGCGGTATACCTTTATGATAGACAGCGTTCATATACCTGTTACCTACAATTTAGATAAAGGTTACTGGTGTAGGGTTCGCGGATCGCACCTACTTGGATATACTTCAAACGAAATGTAGGTAGAGCTTGCGGGTCTAGCAATTATCCCCCAATGAAAAATATAATTATACATGAGGATTACTACCATTTTTTCTGACCTTACATTAAACAAAAATGTTAAGGATCTACCTATAATACTAATTTTGTTTTTATAGGAGAAGTTCAGATAAATTTTTTTTGACGTCCTTAAAGTTTATAAAAAGGCTTTTGATGACTTACTCATTGTCGATGACTGTATAATTATATCCACTTCTGGACAAAAAGCTACCAATGACTTTTTTAAAAAGCCGAATGTGCCTTAAAATAATTAGTTATAATTATTTAATTAATGGGCCTTTCGAGTTTTTAAAAAGTATCTCGCAGTATAATAGTCCTCAGCAAACTGATCTCCATGCTTTACTCTTACTCCTAAAGTTAAGCCGAGAGTATAAAGGAATTTTTCTTACTTCCGATTATGCTTTACCGATAAGCATATTTAAGGAAAAAATGTGGTTGAATAAAACAAGGGTTTTAATGCGAACACCAATTTATAAAGAGTACATAAAATCAGTATGGATTCTCAGGCCGCCTTTTTACCTCTCTGGGTACTAAAAGTAAAACAGCCTTACCTCTAGATCATTTTTTATATAATTTAAAAGATATTACAAATGGTGTTCAAACAGAGGAAATTTAAAGGGTATCCTTACTTAAAGCGTAAATTATTCATTGCTTGATTTATGACGAGTATTTAAACTACTACAAGGTCAGCTAACGAAAAGTAACGGGGGTCTTTATAAATTTAGATATTCAGATATAAAATTTATAAATATGTTAATAATTATTTTAAACAATTAAATCGCCTGCTAACAAAAAATACTGGATCCATCTGTATAAAGCTTTAACTAATAAATTTAACCCGGCCATTACTTTTACCGAATGATACCGAGAGTATCGTTTTCATGCAGCAATCTAATAGAACTTGTGAATAGTAACGGGGACTTTCGCCTCATGTTTCAACTCACAGTTGATGTCAGAGAACTTTTTCTTTTACAAAAGTTGGAAATAAAATTGGAGAACTTGAAAAAATTGGATTACTAGCATACATAGATAACATGGGTATTATTGAACTTTTGGAAGTAAAAGAAAACGTTCTTGCCGCTGGAGGATATGACGCATTATCACTCTTTTACATCTACAGTAGCTCCTTCGGCCGAGCCCTAATTAGTGAACCACAAAAATCGGGAAAGGAATGTAGAATTGTGGTTGCCACGTCTACTAAAAAGCTTTTATAACGTTAAATTTCAAGGCTGGGGCTTATATATTACTAAATATTGGGCTAACAAAAAACTAATTCAAATGTAGTTCGTGAGAAGGGATTATGGAGTTATGGAACCAATAAGAAATACTGTTTGCTCAAATTCCTATACATAGGGGTAGAAGTGATTGATCTTCCGTTGATACCCAAAGTGCCTAGACTTTGGTTAAGTTACTTAAGAGAGTTAACTTTTTTGTTCAGGATTCAAGTTTTGAAAGTACAACTGACAGATTCAAAAAACTTCCTGGTGTAATAATTCATTACGACATCTTTCAAGCATTATACCCTTCATTATCCCGAAAAAAAATGATTTTAAATGGAATAATGTGAGAACAGATCCATCATTTCATCCTTTTTTTTTTCCAAATTGAGATATGGGAATATTACGAAGCTACTAGAGAAAATAAGTTTCCTGATGTAGCTTACAATATAATGCAATATCAGATTAATGAAAAAGGTGGCATCTTTGCATCATATTTAAATGCGGCAGTTAGACTTCTTCAAGCAGCTTTTAAGGCCTTACTTAGTGATATTTTTACTAAGGTATCCTCGAAGAATATTAGTTGGAAACTCTGTGAAATATGAAATTACCTACAAAATAATTGTTAGCATTCTTTACTTTCTATCTTGAATGAAGAGATGGTAAGCGCTTTAAAGAAAGAATACTGTCTTTTCCACCAATGAACTTGTTTTTTCAAAACTTTCCACAAAAATTGCTATAAATAGTGTTCCAGAAATTAGACCTTGATAAATTATTTAAATCAAGAAAAAACCTCTATTATCTACTACAGAAGATTCGAGGCTGCAAAGCCTCATATTTTCCCCTTTGTTCCCTAAACTTCAACTCCTGTATAATAATTTTTTTTAGAAATAAAGAAAGTCTACTTTTTAAGCGTATAAGCTTTGGTTGACGTTAGATTTCGGTTTTATAAATGATAAAAGTCTTTCGTTATATCCTTTTTTTTTTTTTGTAAAAAGCGTTTTTGCTTCAAATAATTTTATTATAATTAATTTTACTATTAAATTGTAAGTTTTTCCGCAGTATTTCTGATTTTATTAAACAGGAAAGCTATAGTTCTGTAGCCGTACGATATATTTTTTTAAGCAAGACCTAACCTTATTTAATTACAATAAACCATAGGCTGATATTTGCTATACTTTTATAAATATCTAACAGTCGCTTAGTAAGGAAGGTTCATCAAAAGCTTTCCACAGACTTATAAAAAAATATTTTAAGAATAAGAAACCTTAATAAGTTTTAATTTAATAAAAAACCTCTCTTATCTACTACGGATAATGGGGGCGTCAAAGGCTCTTTACTTTTTTTCTTCCCCCACATTGACTAAACCTAGTAAATTTTTCTTTTAAGTTTAGTGTTCCGGCAGCACTAAACTCACTGAGTAATACTTATTTCTTAAAATACAGAGATCTGATACTGGAACTTTTCTTTGTGACTTTTTACTCCTATCTTTTATTATTTGAAAGCCTTACTGTTTCTTAAAAAATCTAGCCACATTGGCGTTAATATTTAGAACATAGGTATTTAGAAACGAAAAAAAAAAAAACTTATTAATGCTGTTTCTAGTAAATACTGACTTTAATTATTTGTTTCAGTATAATTATAACGGTCACTTTTGTGGAGCAGACCTGCGTTATTATTTTTGTTTAGTTAAGCTAATTCCATATGGAAGAAAACCAGTTCCATTATAGACATTGTAAAGTTTTTGGCTATTATTTAGGCGATGTATTAGGAGTAGTTGAGCTAATGTCATTCATTTTGAAATTCAACTGGTATTACTGCCTTTAAAAAGTACATATATTGTCTGAATATCATAGGCGTAAAGCCGTAATGGGCGTCTCGCGTGTGAGGGTTGCCTGGCAAAAGCAAATCGCGCACATTAGTGCGCGAAACGACAGGGACGAAAAAAAAGAGCCAGGTGGTACGCCCGCTGTCAAGTGCAGCGCCCACGTGCACGCTGAAACTGCAACCTTTTAGGTATGGCTTCATCATTTGTGAAAGGTCATTAGCTTGTGCAGAAGACCTCTATGCTAAACTCGGTCAAAGGCCTTTGCAAGGCGCTGATAGCTCATTCGATTAGGAGATGGAGCTGCTGAGTCGTTGGCTGTCCTCGCTAGAATTCAAACTGGAACTCCGGCAAGGTGTTTCGAACGTCGACGCCTACCCTAAAACGGCGCAGGAAAGCGGTCTCGCTCACTTTGCCTACCGCTGACAGGAGGCTGATGGGCCGTTATATGCTGGTCACAAACTCCGGTTTTAAGCCTTCAGGAGCCTCACAACAGTTGCTACTTTGCATCGTGTTGAACAGGTGTCCAAGGCCATCGCTGGTTAACTAGAAAGCGTAAAAAATGCATCACTGTTAACGGCGTACTGGTCAGCATCTCGTTAGGGGTGCCCCGGAATCGGGATAAGCTCAGCTGCTATAATGACTAGTGGGAAAGCATTCTGGGCAACAAGGTTAATAGCGAATAGAGAGCCTCAGTTTTTTAAAAGGGAAGTTGGCCGCTGTTTCCTGCCTCCGCAATTAGAGTTTAGCTTGGCTTCCGTTGATGGCGCTCTGTAACAGCAGGCCACCCGGATAAAGCCTCATGGTTGGTAAATAAGCGCCTTCAGTTCGTCAGACAGACGGAGAGCGGCGTGGTACATTACTTTAAGATGTTATCACGGCGACGGTGTGAGTCCTGGCCAGGGCGCTTTCGAGGTTAGCAGGAGCATCGTGCTTCAAGGCGGGGTTTCCAGGGGTGATGGGAACGGTGGAGACGTTATTTCGAAAAATTAGCAAATTTATTCCAGTTAGTAAAAGACCGGCGATGGCCTTCCCTTCGTCCATCTTGAGAAGGACTGAAAGGTGGTCGGACGCAGTTTGTTGAGCGCTTGGATCAACGTTGAAAGAGACGCAATTTTATTGTGCTTACAATTTTTTTATAAATTTCTAAAAAAAGATTTTAATTCAAAAAAAAAACCCCTCATAATATACCGTCACTGAAGAACCACTATTTCATATAACTAACAATGTACTTCTGTATGCATAAACTGATAGAGACTCAAAGCGCCCCTTACTTGTATTAGCACCTATTTTACATATAAAAGCAACTGAGCTCCGCTGAGGACTCGGAAAATGAAAGAGAAGCGAAGTGACTGTGAGCTTGGCTCTGATTCTGAGGCGGAGGGGTCTAGCTAAACTATTGCATACTAATATCGATAATAGTTTCAGTAACATTATTTAGCAGGGCTTCTTTTTAACATAATATTATTTTTTAAAATTTATATCATTATTTTTGTCTTCCGTTAAACCCTTTCTCTTCTGTTTGCACTCTTTCATGTTTAACAGATATTCTGTAAATATAACCTTTAAGCTTACCGCCTTATGCATAAAATTCTAGAGAAGATGAATACCAACGCATGCAAGAATTCAAGAAATTAAAGGAATACATTTACGAGCAAAATAAGAAATTATTATTTAAAAATGTTATTATAATTCATAGTTTTTTAACGTGTGCAAAACAAATTTATTATTAGTGTTGACCTACTGATTTTTTATAGTATTATAAATTTTTTATTACTTGCTAAGCTACCAAGTAAATTATTTTGGCGAACTCTAAAGTTGGTAGAACCTTATAAATTTTTTGTAAAGATTGACGACTTAGAAAATGGGAAACACCAATTGTTTTCTTATTATACTTCGCTTTTTGAAGCGGAAAGGGATGTCTTGGTACTTTTTTAAAAAATAAACCTTTTAAAAACAATTATATCGGTGCTTAGATATATAATTTTAAAACGAATTATTAATAAAAATTTTAAAAGAATATGTTTCAGTTTTAGCAATTGACAATTTACAAAGTATAATTAATTTGACTTTTTTTGATGAAATTTAAAATTTCATAATTAATAAAAATGACTTAATAACTTTTTAAGTAGATTAAGGAGGCAGAAATTCTTAGAAAACATCTCATAGAATGCTCAAAAAAACAACTACAAGATACAATTAAAGAAATTGAAAAAGAATTTGAAGTTGAGACTAAATCCGCAAAAGGTCATTATTAACTATTTATCATATCAATAAAATAATAGTTTATATATAATTTCAGCTGAAATTATGGCAAGCCTGCTGGAGAAAAAAAAAAAATTAGAAGAGGAAAAACAGTCCCACGAAATTTATATGGACAATGGTGAAGAGAAATTGGGAGGGTATCGTAAAACCACAAGATTTCAGACAACGAGCGTTACTTCTAAAGGTTTCTTCGATTTTAATTTTTTTTAATTTTTACAAAATAATTTTTAATTCCTTTTTACTTTAAATTAATTGAATGAAATTAATTTAAAGTATATTTTTTTATAAATAAGTATTTATATATTTATTATATATATACTTTTAAAAATATATTTTATTATTATAAATATATATAGTAATAAATATTTTTTATATGTATATAAAAAAATTGTAACGGAAGTTACTTTTGTAATTATAATTTACTTTACCTAAATTTTTTTAAAGGCTTTAGTTTTCTTAAAAGTGGCCGATCCAGTAGAAGAAATGGAAATAGAAAATTGTTTGGTTCCAGCAGACAAGGTATAACGAAGACTGTTCAATACTATAATATATGATGTATAAAAAAATTTTTTAAAGATTTAAAATTAAACGAAAACGAAAGAAAATTGAGCGAGACCGAAATTAACTCCGATTTATTGGCCATTTCAAAATTAAAATAATCATTTTTATATAAAATGTTTATATGTAGTTAAAATTTTTTGCCAACTGCTCGATTTTGCTCTAAAGCGAAGTCAAATTAACTCCGATCTACTGGAGTACAAAAATAAAATAATTTAATTTATTTGTATTAATATAAATTTATTAGCGTTAACTTTGAAGTTATATATAGGAATTAATAATTCACTTAAAAAAAGTTTTCCTTCCGCTCGTTTTTGCAGGCCCTCTTAACGAGTTTTTCATAAAAAAAACTCTCATAAAGTAAAAGATTTTATAATTAACTGTTTTTTATAATAAAGTATTTATTTATTTATTTAAGTCCTATATTTAATATTTTAATAAAAGTGTGCCATTGTCAAAGGAGTTTGCGTTTAGAAATCTCTTAAAACTTTTTTTTGGTAATTTGTTAAAACTTTATACTATTTGCACCAAACAATGTTTCTTAATTAGATGACAGGTTTAAATTTTTAATAAAAAAGCATTTTTTTGTTCAACCTTCATAAGTAAACGAGTTGCTGATATACCGAGTTTTTAAAATTTGAATTTCTTCATTAATTTTTAACTTATAAATTCTTATAAGTATTCTCAGAAATTAAGAATTTATTGAATTATTGTTCAGTATATTAAACCTCTCTCTAAGCCGAATCGCTTGATAGCAATTTTTTAGGGTTTACCATCTAAATAGACCCGAACACTATTAAAAGTTTACTCTTACTACCTGGAAAATATATACTTATCTGCAGAATCAACAAGGCTCTCAAAAACGATTCTTTTTATAATGTTAAATATGTAAAAGCTTTACGGTACTTTAATTAAAAAGTTTGATAATACGATACAGTCATAAAGTTAAGTTGTAAAAGTTCCTTTTATTAGAATTTAATTTATAAATTTACCTAATTATTCAAAACTAACAATAAATCCTGACACCCTTAAATTCTTAAATTTTTGTAAAAATAAATTTATATACAATAAGTTGTAAAAACCAAAGAAAACTCTACCTGTTCGAAGATGGGAGTAAACAGTTTTAATTAAAATAATATATTAGTAAGAAAATTACATAAACAGGATGTTTATTATGGGCTTAAAGTGCCTCTGAATACACTAATTTCACAAACTTTATTAAACTTAGCTACCATAACTTACCTAACGGATCAAAACTATTATTGAGTGCAACTTAAAGTATTTAGTAGTATGAAGGTTCTTAAATGCGAGAACACAAGAATTTTTTTGCAACACTATAATGCAACCCTTTATTTCTGCTGGAGTTAATAATAGTTTAATAAAAAAGCTTTGTTTTCTGTTGATGATTTTTATTACCAGTCACTATCAACTAGTGCCGACGGTTAGCACGTAAGTAACAAATATAATTCGTTGTGTTCATCGTCTAGTGTGGTACATAGCGATTAATACAAAGCATGAAGGCAACTATATAGAAGGTGGGCGGTCCTATTTTTTATAAGTGTTTTGTTGTAAAATTTTTTGTTAAAACTCTAAAATGCAGTACTGTTAAACATAAAAAATTGCAGTTTTCGACTAATTATTTTGCTTAAGGTTTATCTTTAAATTTAGTAAGCTTTTCCTGCTTATAGTTTATTAATGAATATGTCATTCTGAAAAAATAAGCGGCACAAAATAGAGCTAAAGACGAAAGAGAAAAAATTACCCATTTTACCTTTGCGTACTTTTTGGGACAAAGTTTAGGATTTTCATGCGTAATACATTGATTTGTCAAGTCCAAGCATGTACCCTCAACTCTTTAGCTAAACTGGAATTTAGTAGATGCGATAAAGGTCCCTTTACCAACATCAAAAGGAGTATTGTACACATAAAGTTTTAAAGTAAGTAAAGCTGACAAATTTTTATAGTTTCATTAGTATACCAGGTGCCATTGTCAAAGGATTTCAATGATTTCCATTTTCAAGGGGCTAACTACTAGTTATAAAATTACTCAGCTATTTCATTTTCGTAAGCGCCCTAACTCAGACGCTAATACCTAAGAGGAGGTGGTTAGGTACTATTGTAAATATTTATAAGCGGGCAAATAGATTATAATAACATATTTACAATATCTTCAAGCGCTTTAATGGGACCCTAAAATTTGTAGATTGAATGTTGAGGTCATAAACTTTATTAAGGGAAACCTTAAAAGATCCGTGAAATTTCATAGAAAATAGGTTTATTCGACATGTACGATTCTTTATTACCTAAAGGATGGCTCTCGAGATGGATCCAGAAAGATTGCGTACTACTACTTTACCAATAAGATAGAGAGTTCAAAAGCATGAAGTAAAGACACTAATTTGTCTAACTCAACTGCTTAAACAGGATCTCTAAAAGATAACCGAAGCTTTCCTCGACTGGCATTAGTACTTGAGCAAAGCTTCGCTACAGAGCCGCATCAAGATGAATAAGTTAATTAAACTATGACTGAAAAGCTATGGTTTTAGCATTTCTCTTGTTTTTCTTATGCATTTCTACTTAGCTTAATTATTATCTTAGATGATATATTGTATCTTTTAATAAAAAAAGTAAAGATTATAATTTTATTTCTCTCTGAAGGAAAAGGTGTGGTTTAAAAAATTTACTATAAAATACAATAGTTAATGAAGCTGGACTTCAATAGTTCATAAAGTTTTTAATCTTTAAGAATTTTTACTAAAGTGATAACAATAGTAGTTTGTAGTCATTACGTATAAATCAACGACTAGTCCAGATATTAAGTTACGCAGGGTTCTAAACATATATCTAAGTTTTGACATACTTTGAGCAAGAGTGGATCACACTCAATTTCTTCAATCATGTTCTTCTAGGCTTGGAAATTTAGTTTAACTTTAAAGAAGTTTGTTCCTAAATAAGAGAGGATATAGGTCTAAACATTTTTAAAACAAATAGTTGAACTATCTTAATACCGTAAGGTAGGGTGCACATAGTATCCTTATCAGACAAGGATTACTTCACTTTTGACATTAGTGTTACTAGTTAATGCCCGTCTTATGGATTACATATAAAAAGTTCTAAAATTACTTTATCACGCTGAAGTAGTGCCCATACCCTAGTAAATGAGCTAAAGTAACGTTAAAAATTTACAACTTAAGACAGCGAACTCAAGCAAATATCCTATTTTTTATAAAAATACTACAGAAACAACGATGACTTACTAAAGGCTAGCCAAGCCGTTAACAGCACAGAAAAGTGAAAGACAACAATATGATAAGCCTAAAGTACACTCTCTCATGTTAGCTTGCTTTCTGCTTCTAAGCAGTTTTCTAGTTCAAACTTTTAGTAGTACTAAGGTAAATACCTTAGAGAAAATTATTTTCTTATCGTGCATTAAAGATATTTCTTTCGTACCTTGCGTTATAATTACCCAAGTTTAAAATCGATGAAGAACTTAAGATAACTTAGTAAGTAGTCAAGATATACTACTAAATATTATGAATGTTAGAATGGCCAAAACTTAGATTTTTAAGTGACCAAAAAAACTAAGAAAACAAAAAACACATTAAAAACAAGATTTATTCAATCTTAAAAAGAACCTAATACCGATAAGTGTAAACTAAATATATTTGACACTTATTAAAAAAGAAAAATTGAGTTCTAATAACGATAAAAAGCCTAATCTATTAATTCAAAAGTCTAAGTAGAAAACACAAAACCTTGGCATACTATATTCTAAGGAGACCCGACAAAAGCTCTATCACAATTTAAAAAAATTTTAAAAAAGAGCAAACTAAGGACCAAATTTTTATTAAACAAACGTAATATTTTCAAACTTTTTACAAAAGATATTAGTACTATCTTGCTGATCAATGAATAAAGTATCCGTAAATCTTATCTCTTAACTTTAGCCTATGGCCATAGTTTTTCTGATTTACGGCCTCTATTCGTGGCCAACTTTACCGGCGTTAGCTTTTCTTAAAGTGCATTACCACACTGGACCAAATGACTGAAATTTGCTTCGACCCCTCTATTTCTTGGGTTCAGTGGGACACTCTTACTTTAACTTCTAAAATAGGGCTAATACAGAAAGAGATTAAATGCTAAAAGTTCTCAGTAGAAAACAAAAAAAAAATTGAATACAAATAAGAACGGAGAAACAAAAAACTAGAATGAGGTTTGTCGATAGTGATGCACATTTCTATTTGTATTAAATTCAAGTGGAAAAAAAAGATTAAATGTTTTAAAATATACCATTAATTGTTTCTTTGATTAGTAAAAATTATAATGTTTAATTCTTATAACTTATCCGCATCCAGTCTTCATTGATCTTGGTGTGTTTACTTTAATTATTTATTTCGTTCGTTTTGTCTTTTCACGTCCTGTAAGATTGTTTCCTCTTTTACATCCTATCTAATCTTCTTTTTTCATGTTTTTTGGTTATCTCCATATATGCAAAACTATAACCTTTAAAAGTAAGTGTGAACGTAGTTTTAACAACCTAAGAATTTTTCTTAAAAATTCCATTTTAATTCTTTAGTATACCATACTATAATTAAGCTTCTGATTTTTTGTCACGCTATTATTGGTTAGTTTTTACTTTTTTCCTCAATTTTTACTTGGGTCATAATACGTCGTAACATTTGACCATAAGGAAATTAAAAGAAATGCTATCTCTTTCAAAGCGATCCAACTACATACCTACTGACAAGTTTAAGTAAAAATTAGTTACGCGGGTTGAGCATGGAGAGCACAAGGCGCTTAGTATATATAAAAGTCTAGAAGTTTTACGGCACCTGTTAACAACGTGGTAGGACGCCGGTAATTGTAAATGGATACTGGGTATAAAGTCTAGAAATTTAGTGTTTAGTGTTAAACTGTTAAGTTTATTTTTTCGTGGTAGAAACTAAAATATGTTAAGCTAGATAGGCAGTCCGCGTTTATATTTGATTAGATAGTTAACAATTTTAGCCAATTTAAAAAGAAAGTACATTTTAACTACACGAACCCCTACCCGTTCAGAGGATACCTGCGAAAGTACTATTAAGGCAGAACTGAAAGGGAGAAAGGGAATGAAGGAAAAATCTATTTCATATATTTTCTCTTTCGACTTCTTTTAAAAGTTGGTTTCCCCCCTACTGATAAATTTTAGTCAAGCTTTAATAAATTTTTGAAAAAAAAAAAAAGAGGAAATAAAAAGTGTAAAATAAAAAAATAAAGTCAAAAAAATTACTATAATCTATTTTAATTTAATGCTGAAATCAACATCGAACACCAAATTAAAAGTGCTACTAGCTTCACCTTTTATTAAAAATATTGTCTCAAATTAAGGAGCAGAATGTACGTAAACATGTTACTATGCGGATAGGATTTCAGTTATAGAATGAAAGCAAGCGCTGAGATAAATCTCTTAAAATTTAAAAGGGAAGAACCAGCGTTTATGTAGGATTGATTTCCGTACGTAATTCCAACGGAATACAAACAATGGTTTTAAATTTTTATTAAGACATTTAGTTATTTTGAGTCTGTAGAACTGTATAATATTTACAAGATAGTAGAGAGGGGCAAGTGCCTTACTTAACTGGAAACTATTTGTAATCTTTTGACGAAAGCAAAAAATTAGAACAAGTGGCAGCTATTTTTGTTTTTGCAAATACATTTTGTTAGAGTGAGAGCCAATATTCGCTATATTTAACTATAAAATAGCGGAAGGCGTGTTTGCGTACGAGATGTTCCATGTAAAAAAAACTTTTTCTAAGAGTGCTAAAGAAAAGCATATCTTTCGGGTGTAGCGGACATAAAAGTTTAACTATACGGAACTACTTGAAAAAAGGGTAGGAATGAAAATAGAAAGGGTTTTTTTAAAACTTATAATAGGTAAAAGTAGTTACTCTTAACAAAAAATTACTACCATTTACATTTTTTTTGGCAGTTTTCCACTTTTGTTTATGAAAAGGGCTTCATGTTACAAAAAACACCAGTACCAGAAGAAGAGACAGAAATAAACTTAATAAATGAAAAAGAAAATTATTTTTATCAGAAGTATTATTTTTTGTATGTGAAATTGATATAGATTATTTACGTATAACAAAGGTTATAATCAAGGCTTCAAAATCTACAAAACCTTCAAATCTTGTTTTATAAGTAGTGATGAATTAGCAGTAATAGTAATGACTATTTTTGATAATACTAGTAAATTTAACATGTTAGAAATAAACATGATAACGTAAAATTCCAAAATAAGATGACTCCTTTTTATTAGATTTTATTTTCTTTAAGTTTTCTAAACTTCCATGTTATCTAGGAATACACCAGATAAAAACACTATTTATTTGTACATAAGGGAAGAAGAGGGAGAGTGTGGCCATATTAAAAACAAAAATGAGCAAGACTAAAAGAATTTACATCAGCCACAAGCTTATAAGCAGTACACCATATTGTCTTTTAGAAGTTAAAAGTAACATGAACTTTAAGTATTTGAAATAATAATGAGAATTCTTCTAATAAAAAGATATTTATTGAACAATTTCGTTAATCTTTTCCCATTTTCCTTCGTTGTTTTCTTTCCATAAAGAAATCTAACATACGTAATTCAGTATATCATAAAAACAATAGATCTAAGTGACAAGGATATTAATTTTATACACTTCTTAATAACCTTATCATTGGCTGTAACCGAAAGAATACAGCCAGTAAGCGACCAGGATATTCGCCAGAATATTGATGGATTGGCGTCTAAATATTTCGAGATCCATTGCCCAGAAGTAGAATCGAAGTTCCATATTAATACTTTCTTATCCTTAAGATGTTTTTATAATAAATTTTGTAAATTAACACTAATGATGTTAATAAACCTGCCCACAACTAGCTAAACTCGAGGAGTGTAACCCAAAGTAGGGACGCCAAGCGATGTCCCGTACCCAATCCTCATGGCCTCTCAAAGTAAATTCAGGAGTTTCGCTCAACCATTTATTAGATTGATCAAATCTAAGAGTATTATAGCAATAATAGTATTTTTCCCTTATAAATTTCTTTCTTTGTTCATATTTATACCAGTTTTTTGGTAAAAAATAGTTTTTTTACTAGTCATTATTAGTAATATAATTTATAGTTCAGATTGCGCGGTATCGCTGTTGGATAAGTTCTTATTTACTTCACTGATTAAAAATTATCATATTACAGTGAGCATAATTTAATTTTTTTTATTTTTCTAAATCCAATTTTAATCAAGTTTTCTTAAGTATACAGTTATTTACATATACTTTTCTCACTTTATAATTCTTTATATTTGATAATAATGTAATAATCGATTTCTACTGCTCTCTTTATTAAACATGACATAATGAAACTTTATATTCAGTTAGTTATCACTTTTTAAGCCCAAATTTTTATGAATAGTTTTTATCAGTGAAGATAAGCATATTTTCCGCTTAAATAGTTATAAAAGCTTTTTGTTTGGGAGGATTTGTTTTATTACTAAAGTTTTCATATTCCATAAAAGTATAAGAGGAAGAACTTAGTAATATTTTTTTTGGTCAGATAGCGCTTTTACTAGTTCTGCGAATAGCCTTCTCTCTCCTGCCCCTGCTTATTGGACAAGCGAGGATAGCACTGACGCCAGTTATAATTATAAAAGATCAGGCAATGTTAATTTGGAATGTGAAATATAAATAGAATTCATTTATAATGAGTGCTGATGCTTGGTTTAAGATATACTCTACCTTCATGCTCAAGCCACGTGCTAACACGCAATTATTAATGAATTTCACAAGAATTTTATTTTTCATTAGTTTTTGAAAATTTAAACTTATTAATAGATTGTCATTGGTCCAATTATATCAAAATATCTTATCATTAGTGCAATGTAAAAACGGTATTAATAAGTATTTTATTGTAAATGAACTTGAATATTTCATAATATTTACTTTAAATAATTAATTATTCTTCATGAAAACTATTAAATATTCTTTTGTATAAGAAATTTAAATATTTTTTAATTAAAAGTTAATAACCATAATTATATTCTCTATATATATGTATATATAATATAAATAAATTTATAAAATAATATATTTATATAAAGTTATTACATATATTACTATATATTTACTTTTATCAATTACTATTATTATTATTATTATTATAAACTATAAAGAATTACTTCCATATTTTGATGAGATTATCGCAACCAGCACTCGCAATTCGCTGAGAAGATCCACTGGAAATCTCATTATCGCCAAAAGGCATCCAATCAACGGCGTTACACCCGCCTTTGTGAGCCAACCAGCGACTAGAATTCCACGTGTTATCTTTACATATAAAAGAATTAAGGTATTTTAATGAAGTTAACTATAATAAAATAATTATAATAATAAAGATAAGAAAAATATAATATACATAAATAGTATTTACTAATATAAATTTTTTATCCACGTGTCACCAAGTACGTGTATAAAGTATTTTAATATAAAAAACTACCAAGTGATAAAGTATTTATTATTACTTTTAAATTTTATAAAAAATTTCATATTTACAGAAAATTTTATTATTACTTTTTATTTAATTTCTAATTAAATAATATATAAGTAAAAATTTTTTATTATAAAAGTTTATTTTATAAAGAATAATAAACAAAAAAATATTTAATTTATATTAACAGAAAAAATTGATATTTTTTTTTTTAAAAATTTTTATTAATTTTGATTCATAAAGAAAATATATAACAAATAAATATTTACAATAAAGTTTGTAAATACACTTTTAATAGCCTTATAAATAAAAATTATATAATAATAAATATGAAAGTATATTACTCTTAATACTTACAAAAAAAATCAACTCGAAAAGAAAATATTTATTATAAGGTTTTATGTTATTTTTTAGTTAAATGATTTATTTTATTTTATATTTATTTTTTATTATATAAAAATATATTTTCTTAAATATTCATAATAATATTTTTACATTTATTATTTCTTTATTATTATTAATATATATAAACTTCAACTTATTTTTTTTTTTATTTTAATTTTTAATATTATATTTTTAGTATAAATATAACATGAAAATACTATTTTTATAACTATTATTTCTTTATCATTATTATTAATTTTAACTATTAATATTCGATAATGGTATATATTTTCTTATTTTATATTATTCTATTTTTTATATAAATAAATATTATTTCCATAAAAATTTTATATTTATAATTTCGTTATAACTTTTCTAAAAAAATATAAATAAAACTTAGACATTATTAATATTTTATTAGAATAATACTTTTTTAATTTTTACTTACTTAGTATTATAATAAATGTATACTTTTAAATTATCCCTTATACATTAATAAATTTAAAAAATTATTATATTTTTTTATAACTTTTATTATAAATATAATAAAATTTTTATTAATTTTTATAATACTTTTTTTATTTTTATTTACTTCTTATTATAATAAAAAATATTTATTTAATTATTATTATATTTACTATTTTTTTCTATTTTTTTACTTTTATTTACAATATATTTTTATATGTATAAATATTATATTTTCTATATAGATTTCAATTTTTTGTTACTTTCGATTTATAAAATAAATAACAATTTTTTAGCATTTTTATTATTTATTTTTATTTATATTTATTCTTTATTTTAATATTGATTTATAACTTTTTATTATAAAAAACCTTTATAAATAATAATAATAATTTAGTAAAAGTTACTTTTATTATTTTTACGCTTTTCTTTATTCTTTTCTGAAAAGTTTATTATGCTTTTCATTATTATATATTTATTTATGTTTATTTATGTTTATTACTTTTATATATTTTTAATAATATTATAATATTATTGGAAATATATAAATATAAAACTTTTCTTTATATAAAGTTTATAATAATAATGAAAATTTATTATTTATATATAAACAATTAGAATTATTATTATTTATATTTTTAATTACATCAGTGTAATAAAAATATAAAACTTTTCTATATAAAAAGTTTATCATTATTGATTTACTTATTGTTATATATAAGAAAAAATATATTATATATAAAAGATATTATAATTATTACTATCATTTATTATTATTACCGGCATAAGAAATTATAGAAAGGAAGCCATCAGCAGAAGCACAAGCCAAGCACAAACCAAATTCGTGAGGAGCCCAACTAATCGAGTTTACTATGATATATATTATAAATAACAATATAATATTTTTATATAAAAGTTTTAAATATAATATAAATAATAATAATTCCTTGAAGTTTTTTTTAAAAGTTTAAAAGTAATAATAATAAATATATTATAAAAAGTATTTATAAAAAATAATAATAATAAATATTATAATTTTATAATAAATTTATGAATAATATAAAAAATTAAAATAATTATAAATAATAATAAATATATTGTAAAAAGTTATTATAAAAAATAAATAATAATTAAAATATTTATGATTTCACGATAAAATTTACTAATAATATAAAAAAATAAAATAATTAAAAAAAAGAAATAATAAATTAATTACATATAGTTTTTATATGGTAGTGCACAAGAAAAAAAGAAATAATAATTATTTATAATTTTATAATAAATTTTGAAATTAAGTACTTAATTTATTATAACATTAAAAATTAAGCATTTAAATTAACAGCAATTTCGTAAAAAAAGAAAAAAATTAAAGTTAATTTAATTTAATTTAAATTCAAGTAATGTATTATAACATAAAAAATTAAATTACTAAAAATTAAGTAATGATATTTTTATTATACTTCAATCCGTTAAAAAAATAAAAAATTAAAATCTATTGATAGCAAGTAATCAAGTTTTATTATTTGTAACATAAATTTATAAAAAAAAATTAAAAAAAATGAAAATTAAATTAATTTTAAAAACAAATTTTCACTATACTTTAAAAAAATAAAAAAGAATTTAAATTAAGTACCCATTTTTTAAATAAATTTACTCAAAAAAATTAAAAATTTAAAAGAAATCTTATAAAAATTTATATATTAAACCGCTTAAATCATGGGCAGTGTGGATGTACAAAACACTCCAATTCTTAAAAGAAATTTCCTTCCAAATTATAACGCTCTTGTCAAAAGAGCAGGAAGCGAGGATGGAGCCAAATTTAGGATGAGCCCAGCTCACTTGCCATACGGAACCGCTATGACTTTTATAATTAATAATAATTAATATAAAAAGTTAAAATTCAAATTTATAAACTTTTGTAAACAAGCCGTCTCTTGATAAATGCCATCGAGTTCATCAAAAACTTTTATACTATTATCAGAAGAGCAAGTCGCTAAGCGTTTACCGTAATAATCCTAAAAAATGTACATTTTTAAATATAATTTAAATTAATAACTTCTATATTGAATTAATTACCAACTGTGCATCGTGAAGAGAGTCATTGTGATTAGTAGCAATTACAGTATTCTCAAAGTCATAAGTTCTACTTTCAGCTACAGCCATTACTTTCTTGAAAAACAGTAATAATAATTATATAAAGAAATGAAAATTACAAAAAATGTGTTATAGTTAATAAAAAGTTAGAAGTAAATTATTTGAAAAAATCAAGATTTTTTAAATTACATATATATACCTAGAGGAATAATGAAAACAAAAATAAAAAGGGCGAAAAATCTAAAAACTGATAGAAATATGCGCAAACCCTTACAAAGTTTATAAATGTATTAAAAGCTTAAAAATAACAAAAGCTATTATAATTCACCATCTTGTTGTAGTAATTAAAAAAAAATTAACAAGGTATTAGCAACAACACAAACTTAACCACAGTGAAAATAGGAAAAATTACGTTAACGAGTGAATATAATTTGTAATTCTTAAAGTTATGAGTAATGAGAAAACATAAAGAAAATATATAATTGTGTTACAAAAAATAGGAAAACAAATTAGTAATTTGCTAATATTAGGGAATATATAAAGGTTCCCTGGATAACTGCAAAAAAAATCAATAGTAAAAAGTTGGGGACGAAAATTTTTTAAAGGGTTTGTTAGAATTTTTGTTTGAAGGTTTCCTTTTATTTAGTTTCCTTTACAAACTCAAAGCACGTTTCATTTTTAAGTACAAAAGTCTATAATTAATGAGCTGCATTTTTACGAAAAGGATAGGTATATTCAACTCTACTAATTTTTAGCTTAAGAAAAAACTTTTTAAAAAAGATATTTATAATAGCTTTTTGCTTAACTTAAATTGTTAATAAAGAGTTGAATTGTTAAAAAAATCTATAAAGTTATTTACCACAATTTTTTGAGGCCAATAGCTTACTTATATCTTTTACTATATTTTTTTTCGAGTTACATATACTTAGTTACTTAATAGTCGTTAAATTCTACTGCAATGTATACAATTCTTTAACTTATTAAATAGTCTATTTATATAGGGATGAAAACTGTAATAAACGTTATATATTTATTTTTATTATTGGTATATTCACTTTTTTTTACAAAAAAAATCTTTTTTTAAGTTGATATTATAATGAAAAAATATTGTTACCCAAAAAGATTTGTGTCCTTTTAACTAATTTAGAAAGTCATAATATATAAGGTTAAAAACAATTACGTGGAGTTGTACTTGGAAACTTTAAAGTGTCAGTAAATATATTAACTTAAGCACAAGAAAGGCAGCACCTCTTAGTGTTTATGTATAAAAGTAAAGGCAAAAAGAACGCAGTTTATGAACCAAAAAGAGCCAAAAGTAGAGAAAGTGTGGAGGTGCAGGGTATCGAACCCCGTGCCTCTCGTGTGCGGAACGAGCGCTCTACCATTTGAGCTACACCCCCCAATGCCAGCTAGCCTTGATTTTTTATTATATTATAACTAAAGAATTTTTAACAATTCTTAAATTAGTCATTTATTATATATTTAAATATTCAGCTTTCAAAAATATGTAGTCAAAATTGCCGGGATAAGTGGCACCCACAATCCTTATAACGGCATTTAATAATGATATATTAAAAGTGTTATAATAGCTGAGTAACCTCATTTTAGAGTTATCTTACAACTTACTAGCTTGGTCCGTTATATCAATACTACAATTTGTGGGTTTAGATATCGTTCATCTTTTCAAGTCTGTAAATGTGATATATATTATGGTTATATAGAGCATTAAATTACTTTTTTTTCTCTTTTTTGCAGATATAAAACACAAAAAATTTTTTCTTGTTATAATAATAAAGCGCTATTTTTTATGTTCCGTTTTTTCCAGTTATTATTTTGCGATCTTAGTATTCTGCTTTATCGGTGATCCTCTTCTTAACACTAATTCTATGATCTTAGTATCCTCGCTTCGGTTTTCTATTTTACTAGCTGTTTATGTGCTTCTTGCTTCTTGACTTTAAGGTTGTTCGTTTTAACTTTACTATTTAATTTTTCGTTGGTCAAGTATTTTGTCTACCAATTAGATTATATAAAAAAGTTACAAAGAGAATAATAAAGTTTTATACATTCTACCACAGCACAAAATTCTTATCCAACTGTCTACTTTTAATATAAGGTTTTTTACCATATTAGCTATCTTTTATGCGTAACATTAAAACAGCAATTAATATTAAAATGGTAAAATCTAAGCCTATCCTAAAGGTTAAGGTTTATGTTATTAAAATAAACTATTGCCTAATATAATGTGTTGGACTTTTTAAGTTTCTTAAATAAGCATGTATTTAACCTTTACAAGCATGAACAATGCCTTAAAGACAACCCCCTTGAATACGTTGAAAATATACCAATTTGAGCTTCCAAAGGGGCTCACCTGTTTAAAACATAAGTCAAAGAAATAAACTTCTTATTACTTAAAAGTTTATTTGTATTTAAATAGAATTGTACAACCCTTCGATTTATAAATTTAACTTTTACAAGATTTATATTTTTAAATAGAGTAAACTAGGACCAATAAAAGAAATAACTGATTAGGAAAGATATATGATATTTAAACTTAACTACCAGTAAAAAACGATATTATACAAACGGTAACTAGTTACTTTTTAAAAGGTTTAAAATAATTTTTAGTTTCTTTATAGTTGATGTTTTAAAAATCTTCCCTTGATAATTATTAACTTTTCTATAGATGAACATTAGTACTTCCTATCTTTATATTCTTGAACTGATGATTTAATACTCGCACTTACAGAACCTTTTTTATAATTTTGTCATTATTGAGGGGCTTTCAAAATAAAATTTTTCAAGTTAATATATAAAACGGAGGAGTATTACTACACGACCTTAATAGCGTAATCAAAAATCATGTCTATTATTATATGTTCTTTTGCAGTTGCACAAGGAGAGTTAGACGTTTCTGATAAGAGCGAGGGGTGGTGCTTATCTTAATGAGTTAAGACTGGGAAATTTACCAATTAGAGATGTATAAAAAATTTGATAGAACTATGTAAAGTTTTTTATATATATAATAAAATTTATTAAGTGTAAAAAGGATTTTAGAAAAACAGTTACTTTATTAACTAGTTATCTGTCCGTATATATGTAGCCCTTACAAAAGGGTAAAATTTAATTCTATTAAAGTTATAATTTTTACAAAATTATTACAATTTTTATTATTTATTCATATATATTTAGAACTCATAACATATTTCTTTTTTAGTTCATTTTTTTAGATCATTTCCGGAAACTACAAGTTTTCGCTGTGTATGTATTTCGAATAATATTTGTTTTTTGTTTAGCGTTAATGTATATTTTCATTAAAATGCACAAGAGGAGTTCATATGCATTAATTTCGGGTATAAATATGCATATTACCATGAGTCTTCCATGGTAAGTATGCGCATGGTTAATGGGCATATTTTTGCATGAATGAAATAAACGCTTTTGTTTTAAATATTAAAACGGGTGCAAACAAAAAATTAAATATATATAGCCACTCTTGGTCCCGCCAGCTGCGAATGACCTTTTACACCGATCGATAGTACGATGATTCATTCATGGTCAAAGTCTTCCGTTTTACTACGTCAGCACCTACAATTTTATCGAAGTGCTTGCTAGCTTGTGTAGGCAAGGCCGATAGCGTCCCCGCTTCAAGTGCGACAAAGTAAGCTGCTACGCCTTTAAATAGACTCACCGTGGTTTGTGCGCAATGAAACACTACCCCGAATTTTCGTGTCAAACCTTTTTTAAAACCCATACATAAATTTTGACGCAAAGATCTTTAACAATATTTATACGTTATTAATTAAGGGATGAAGTTTACTCCTTGCGTTGCTATAACGTGCCAAAGTAAAAACAACTTGATGTTTTCATGATAGTGTTCATATAGATATTTATATTTATATAATGCTCAAAAGTTTTTATGCCTGTAGAGGTATAAGGGGAAGTATAAACTCTTTAATATTATTTGTATATTTTAAATAAATTTATATATTTCCAGGTTGACTAATTCAATTTATTCTCTCCTACGAGTTTACCACTAAAGCATAACTTTCTGCAAACGGGGCCGTGTACAGTTTTGCTGCACTTATAACAGATCTTCTTCCTGAAAAAAACTCAATTCATCAAGCTTATAGTCATCTCCTCTAAACGTTACTCTCTACCTTGTCTAAATTGTTTTTGCGTGAATTAATTTTTTGCATAACTTAATTTAATGCTGCTTTGTGTTTTCTATTTGCACTCGAGATTTTTAGAGATAATCTGCCCAGCCTTATTTATTTTAACCATTTCGAAATGTGGTATATTAACTAAAGAGACTCTCGGGTTTTAATTTATTTTTTCCCCGGCTATGTTCATCTGAGAAGGCAAATGAAGAACAGTTTACATTATAAAACCTCTTTTAAACCAATATATGGCTTCCTAAATGCCAAGTTTCAATCCCGTGAATCACTTTGGGAGCCGTTATTCTTACGTTTAGATACTAAGTTCCTTCCAGCTAACATTTACTTTGTCTTGCATTGGGTTATTTTTAATTAATTTTTCTACAATTAGATAAATCTTATATCCACAAAGATTATTAGTGTTCCATGTTATAGCTTCTTTGTGAACACTAACAAATATTAACAGGATTACTCGTCTATCATTAAAGAAATTTCTTATATATAATGAGAAATCTTTATATAACCATTATAATTATTTAGAAAGGGAAGTCTACGTTAAAAATTATAAAATGACATTTTTCTTAAAGGGTTTCTGCACCTATTTAAAGAAAGAAACAAAATGTGGCCATTTTTGAACTTTAGTCCCAAAACAACATTATTATTACTTAAATAATTTTTATAATTGTTAATCTGCTTCATTTGAATTTTTTGTTTAAACACGTATCCGTTTGATTATCCGCAAAAAATACAGGTCGGCGCTAATTTAATAGCAAACCTCCGGAAGATAAAGATAATAACAAAGTAAAGTTGGAGAGTTCTATCAGCAAATATACCACTAAGTGTCTGTTGTAAAAGCACTCATAATATTTTATTACTAATGCGCAAGCCTCCAAAGCTACTTGTTTAACGCTATATAACTTCCATCTTTATTTTAACTTTATTCTCGCATAAAAACTATAACGTTTTTTATTTTTGTTTCTTATCATCAATATCTAGTATAAAAAATTAGTTATAAAAAATAATAGTTACTTTTTAGGGGATATAAAATTTTTTAAAAACTTAAAGCTACCAAATATTAAAAGGTATACGTCTACCCTACCAAAAAAAAGTTGTAAGCCTATTCTAGGTTATAACTAAGTTCTTTAATAGAACGAGACTAACTAACACTTAAGAATTGTTAGTTTTATTTTACTAGAGTAGAACGAAAAATACAAAAAAGAGATGTAAGTTTCTAAACAAAATACCCGAAAACTTACATCTCTTTAACTTTTTTTTCCGTTCTACTTTAGGAGAACAAACTAATTAGCGTTTTTAAGTGTGAGTTCGTTTCCTTTTATTAACGAGCCTAACGCTAGAATAGGCTTACAACTTTATAATAAGAA